AGGGCTGTCCCAGGAACACTTGGCAAGAGAGGGCGGTAGTTTGTGCTGCTGTGAATCACAGCAGCTACTTTCTGCTTCTCTCTACATATCTTTGTGCTCACTAAAGCAGAGAGACGCCATGAGATATTATATGACCCAGCAACCTCATTACACTGCATTTCATTGGAAACCTGACTGTGGTCCCACAGTTCTAGTTGAGCATCAGCCCTGACATTGAATTCTGTTTCTGTATCATCTTGGGCAAGTGCTTTATATTTAGGATCACAGATTTGTCACGGGTACAATAACCATTCTTACCTCACAAAATTATGAGGGTTCCCAAGAATGTAGGAAATCATCTAGTCTGGTACGGACTCATTAAATCATCTACTTCTCTGGTGACAGAGCTGAGACTGGCTTCCTCACCACCTTCTTTTTTTTTTTCGTGAGACGGAGTTTCGCTCTTGTTGCCCAGGCTGGAGTGCAATGGCCCAATCTCGGCTCACTGTAACCCCCGCCTCCCAGGTTCAAGAGATTCTCCTGCTTCAGCCTCCCGAATAGCTGGAATTACAGGCGCATGCCACCGTACCCGGCTACTTTTTTGTATTTTTAGTAGAGACGGAGTTTCACCATGGTGGCCAGGCTGGTCTCAAACTCCTGACCTCAGGTGACCCACCCACCTTGGCCTCCCAAAGTGCTGGGATTACAGGTGTGAGCCTCCCTACCCAGGCCCTGGTCAACTTTATTAACCAGTGCTCACTGTGGCCATGCTCCTGAACCCTCGGCCTCACGGAGAGCATTGAGGCAGCATGCTGCCTAAAGGCATTTCACATTTGTAATTGGGAGTTGACCACACTTCCATTCTCACAGTTACCTCCAACAATTTGTTCCTTTGCTTTCCTAGCCCATTTTTGTTGCTTCTTCCTCACTATACTCCTTTCCAAAGGAGAAGAAATGTGCTAAGCACCGGCATGGTGTGCAGTGTGGGAGACACAGACAGACGTGGGAACCTCCTAACTCTGCAGACCTCACGGCTCAGTAGGGAAGACTGAATGGTACTATCTCTGGTACCACCTGCTTAGTCTCCCACTACCAGTCCTGGAACTAGCATTCCCCTTTTCTGGGGAACTGCTCCACCCAAACACAGATTCCAGGTATGTGGTTCCAGGAGAGCTTTTTGTTGCTACATGTCCCACCTTCCTCACCACAGCTGACTGGCTCTGGGGTCAGATAGTCGTGATCTCTGCCCCTGTGCTTTGTGTTCCTGGCTTAAGGTTAGGTACCCAAGGACGAGCCTGATTTTATTCCGGGCATCGAGACAGAAGGAAAACCTTTTCCCTTGATCCTCAAGAGTCCATGAGGGATTCTTCATTTTTCTTTTCCTTTTGGAGACCGAGTCTCTCATTCCTGTTGCCTACGCTGGAATGCAGTGGTGGGATCACGGCTCACTGCAGCCTCGACTTCCTGGGCTCAGGCCATTCTCCCACCTCAGTTTCCTGAGTAGCTGGGACTACAGGTGTGTGCCACCATGCCTATTTTTCAAATTTTTTTTGTAGAGGTGGGTTTCATCATGTTGCCCAGGATGGACTTGAACTCCTGGGTTCCAGCAATCTGCCTGCCTTGGCCTCCCAAAGTGCTGAGATTACAGTGGTAAGCTGCCA